CGGGAGGCCCGTGCTGTGGGGAGAGGGGATCTGGGGGCGCAGGGGGGTTGGTGGCTGCGGGTTGCGGGGGTCCAGGCGGTACAGGGAGGTCTGGGGGCCCCATGCTGTGGGGAGCGAGTGTCCGGGGAGGAGCAGGTGTCCAGGGGGGCATGGGGGGCACAGGGGAGTCCAGGGAGTGCAGGGGGTCCAGGCAGTTTGGGGGGCACAGGCGGGTCTGGGGGATTTGTGGGCCACAGGGGGGTCAGGGGCAGTGCAGGGAGGCCTGGGGGCCACAGGGGGGTCCGGGCAATTTGGGGGGCACAGAGGGGTCCGGGGGGTACAGGGGGCCCCGGGGGGGGGTTTACTCACCCACACAGCAGGCCCGGCAGCCCTTGGTGTCGGGGATCTTCGTGGAGGTGGCGTTTTTCCTGTGGAGCAGAGCGCAGCCGGCTGAGGGGGGGGGAGCCTGAGGGGCCCCCGGGGGGCACCAGCCGCTGGGCACCGGGGATCTCGCCCGCTCTAGGACGCGGCGGGGCTGGGAGCTGGCCATGCAGGGATGTGGGTCCTGGGGTCTGCCCATAGCCCCCCCCCCAATCCTACCCCAGTCCCCCACGGAAGGGAGGGGTTTGTCCCCCCCCCAGCCCTGCCCCGGGGCGCGGCAGTACCTGGGCAGCAGCCGGTGGGGGGCGATGTGGACGCCGGGGCGCTGCTCCCTCTTGCTCTGCTCGTACAGGCTGGTCAGGCTGTGGGAGTATAGCTGGGGGGTCTTCCCTGTGGGGGGGAGGGTCAGCCGGGGCTCAGCCCTCTGGGAGAGACTGGGACCCCCCCAGCTGTGCCGGTGCCCCTCACTCCCGACCCGCAGCCCCCTGGTACCCCAGCCCTGAGCTCCCCCCACCCCACTCTGCCGGTGCCCCTCACTCCCGACCCGCAGCCCCCTGGTACCCCAGCCCTGAGCTCCCCCCACCCCACTCTGCCGGTGCCACTCACTCCCGACCCGCAGCCCCCTGGTACCCCAGCCCTGAGCTCCCC